AGCGTCCCCGGAGCCGGCGCGGCGGCTCCCTCTCAGCCCGGGGGAGGGGCGCGCGGCGGAGACGGCTCGGGCCGGCCGGCGGCCGCGGGAGTTGTCAACTTGACCCAAGTTGCAAGAGGGTGGGAGAGTGGGGTGCGGGGCCGCGGGCGCGCCGGGAAGGGGCGCCTCGCTCGGCGCCGGCGAGCGCTGCCCAACGGCGTGCAGCTGGCCCCGCGGGCTCGGGTCCCCTGCCCTGCGCTCCCCGCGGCTGTCACTCGGGCACCGCGCTCCGCCGCGCAGAGCCGCTGGCAAGTCGGAGCGCTCCCGGCCGCCTCTGAGCGGGCTCCACGCTCCGCGCTATATAACCCGCGACCGGGAAGAGCCGGCGGCGGCATCGGCCCTCCCTCCGCTCGGCCCTCCCCGCCCCCGGGCGCACCCCGCCCCCGGCCCAGCCCCCCGACCCCCCGGCCGCGCCCCCCCGTCCCCGGCCCAGCCCCCCGCCAGCCCGCCGTCCGCCGAACCGCGGCGGGGCAGCCCCTCTCACATGGCCGTGGCCGCAGCCTCCAGCCCTCGTCGCACCTCCCTCCGCGGCTCACGCCCCCTGCCGTGGGGTGGCCCGGCCTCCGCCTGCCCGGCCCTGCGCTCGGCAGCGCCCCGGCCATCATCCTCCCACCGTCCGGTCCTCGCCTGTCCGTGTCTCTCCGCTTTCGTTAACCTGGGGACTCTGGCGGCGCCGCCTGCGATCAGGCGCTGCGGCAGACAGCCCTGCAGGCTGGCGAAGCGAAGAGAAGGACCTCGGCAGCGCGGCAACGGGGGTGCCGGTCTGAGACGAGGGTTGGCAGAGAACCGAGAAGGCGGTCCAAAGCGGGGTCTCGGGAGAGACTTAGAATCGCAGCTAGCCCTCTGGAACGTGGGTCAAAAGGCTCTCATTTTCCCTGGCCGGAATCACCACTCCCGGTCAAGCGTTGCCCTCCCGCCGGGCGGGCAATGGAAGCTATGCATGCCGGGATTTGTAGTTCGCACCAGTGCGGCGTGTCATTTGCGTACATTGCTGGATGGAATTCGAGCCTACCCCGTCAACGCAGCCTAGGAACTAGGACCCCGAATAGTCAGGGTGTCAGCACTCTTTGCTCTTGTCATATTGATTAAAGAGTCTAATCAATGCATGCATTTTCCCAAACAAATTTTACCTGAAACTTAATCATAAGAGCCTGAACCAGGCAGTTCTTAAGTTTGCGTCTGCAAGGCGAGTTCTCAGTTCTGAGTTCTTTTCTGGCTTATCCTGGGACACCTATGAGTCGTGGGGCTTCACTGTCGCCGTCTTTAAGTGGACAGTGCGCATGCGCCAACTTCCTCTTTTTCCGGCTGGAACCATGGAGGGTGCAGAGTAAGTTGCTCTTCGTCTTCCCCAGAATCCTTCTCCATCTCCGAAACCAGAAACCATTTGTCTGACTTTCCCCCGATCCCACTGTAGCCCGTATCTTTGTCCACTTATCTGTGTGTTTGTGACGCTCTGTGACCGTAGCGGTGGCCCCAGGCTAAGATGGGACGCAGGCGGCCTTGGGGCCGAGGTGGTGGTGGAGATACCGGGGACGAGAAGTGAGAACTGAGTGTGTGTGGAACCCGCTGGTTGTCCAGTCCTTCGTGTTTTGAGGGAGGCGCAAGCTCTGCATTGGGTTCGTCGTTAGCCGGCACTTGGCTGCCCCAGGCGTCCCTTCCGTGCCGTCAGGCCTTTGCTTTCCGCGTGTGGACCGTGCGACTACAACCAGGGTGGTAGTTGGGTTTCTCTGGGGTTTTTTGAGACTCCTCAGCTCTCGTGCGCTCAGACTCGTTAGGAGTCTGGAGAGAGCGTCTTGCGGCAGTCTCCGTCTATACGTTTTGTTAACTTGATTGTGGATGTCTTTATGGTGGGAGGCCGGGACTCGTCGTGGATTAGATGTGAGTTTATTCTTGTCTTTGTGACTGCCATGTACGTGGTCCGTGTTCAAGGTGACGATTATTGGCATAGAAATGCTCTGAAACCTGCATTTCACGCCGTCGCGTGCTCGAGTGCTAGAGCAGCTAAAGACGCAGGCGTTCAGAGCCGGTGACAACAGTTGTGCTGAACCACGAAGCGTGCTCAGTGCAGAAGGGGAGTAATGCCGCGCCGTGAGCTCTGTCAACGATTAATAACGCTCTGTTTGCTAATGCCAGAGACAAGAAGAAGAAGAAGGTTCCTGCTGTGCCAGAAACCCTTAAGAAAAAGCGAAAGAATTTCGCAGAGCTGAAGATCAAGCGCCTGAGAAAGAAGTTTGCCCAAAAGATGGTGAGTAAACTCTTTTGAGACACTTGAACGTAAGAAGTGGCCGTGTAGTCGGGATTGGAAATGAGGTGGATCTTCTTAGCGTAACTTGCTTGCTTCGCCTGCTGTACCAGTGAGCTGGGTTAGCTCTTTAAGGTGGCATTCTCGAATGAAGGTAGTCGTCTGCCTCTTGGAATGTTAATACGTACTGTGGCAAGAAAAGTTTCAGGAGAAGGCTGCTGCTGTTTGTTTTTTTTTTCTTTGAGAACTGGTGGTGTTAATTGTGTTTGGGAGGTAAAAAGCAGATGAATAACTGATAATTGGTTTCCAGCTTCGAAAGGCAAGGAGGAAGCTTATCTATGAAAAAGCTAAGCATTACCACAAGGAATATAGGCAGATGTACAGAACTGAGATCCGAATGGCTAGGATGGCAAGAAAAGCTGGCAACTTCTATGTACCTGCGGAACCCAAATTGGCGTTTGTCATCAGGATCAGAGGGTACGTTCAGTTTTTACTGCATTCTGGTTTTAAAGGGAAAGCTGTGCAACCTCAGCAAAACTTCACCTTACTTCTGGGGGTCTGGGTTCTGAAATATTGGAATAAAAGTTTTGAAGGGGGTAGCTAGAACCAGGGGAGTTATTTTGATGGTTTAGTTGCAAGCCCTGTGCCCAAAGTCTCTATCTATTCTCTAATCCAGTTCAGTGTCCTGGATATTAACTCCAAAAGCAGTTAAAATGTAGCCTCATAAAAGCTATAACAGAAAGGCGGACAAAACTAGGAAATGGTATAAGGGTGCCCGCAAGCTTTAAACGTCAAAGGTATGTGTTGAAACTTGGGGAGGAGACAAGTTGGGAGAGTGAGAATAATTTAGCTAACTAAGCAAAAATGCCAGTGGTCTTTAACATGAGAGGATTCCTATCTATTTAGGTTGGATTTGGGTTGTCCAAAATCATAATGATTAGTTTCCTGTCTTTTATTAATAAAAATTCTGATAAAAGTCAAATGATTTTTTGGTCTTGTTTTCACTCTAGCATCAATGGTGTGAGCCCAAAGGTCCGAAAGGTCTTGCAGCTTCTTCGCCTTCGCCAGATCTTCAACGGCACCTTTGTTAAGCTCAACAAGGCTTCAATCAACATGCTGAGGATTGTGGAACCATATATCGCGTGGGGGTGAGTCTGTCTGTTCCTTTGATTTCTGTTTGGTAAATGGGATCTGTTAGCAAAATGAATTTTAGGTATTTTAATAGTGATAACCTTATTCTTTGGCCATTTATGTCTGTTTTTCATATTTCAGGTACCCAAACCTGAAGTCAGTAAATGAATTGATCTACAAGCGTGGTTATGGCAAAATTAACAAGAAACGAATTGCCCTGACAGATAACGCCTTGATTGCTCGATCTCTGGGTAGGTTCTGCATATTTGGGGAGAAGTGTGCTATTAGACAAGGTGGATATTTTTATGGCATCCTATGACCCTACGTGTCTAGTATGAACCTTCCCACATTCCCTATAATGCTTAAGTCTGTGAAAAATGTAAGGTGTGATTTCATTGGCTTGAACTTTATAAATAAATCTTTGTTGCTTTACTCTTAAATTGTTTTTAACTCTGTCACAGCCTATAATTGTGCTTGTTGAATGCCTTGAAATTGAATAAGATTGAACCATTAACAATTTAATCACCTTAAAATGTTCAGGTAAATTCGGCATTATTTGCATGGAGGATCTGATTCATGAGATCTATACTGTTGGAAAACGTTTCAAAGAAGCAAACAATTTCCTATGGCCCTTCAAATTATCTTCTCCACGAGGTGGAATGAAGAAAAAGACCACCCATTTTGTGGAAGGTGGAGATGCTGGCAACAGGGAAGACCAGATCAATAGGCTTATTAGAAGGATGAACTAAGGTGAGCAGCTGCATCCTGAGAGAAGTTTACTTAATACTAAAGGTGGTGGTAATCTCGAACTTTCCCCATTAAATATTGATAAGGGTTTAGTTGCGTTCTAATCAATATTTTTAGTGGGGAAAAAAATCAACCATCTTATGATTACAGTTGTTTTGGTTACTCCTTCCTTTTGAGGACATTTATGGAGGGAAGAAAAAGCTTATCTTTTTTCTACTTAAAAATGGAAAGTGAATTGGTAGTTCCTTATAATTTCCTGATTTATGTTAATTCTTAGCTATTAATGTTAAGGTGGTTTCTTTAATGGGTTTTTGTTTTTGTTTTCCTTTTCCTTTCAGGTGTCTACCGCGATTATTTTTGTAATCTGGTCAGTAAATAAACAGTGACTGTTTTCAAATTGAAATGTATTGTTGTCTTGGTGACTTTGTGGTAGCCTGCCTCTGCTGTCCCTTAACTATTGTGGCAAATCTTGGTATGTGATAAAAGTAAGCCAAATCAACAGCCTGTTGCATGGAAAACTAGGGTACAGTTTTTATCTTGTGGAAAACATTCGTTGGGTTTATTAAAGACTTTCTTTACGAAGAAGAAATCTTACTTTTTCATTTTTCACTTTTTAATTGTGCCATTGAGTTAACCAAAATGGAACTATTCTAAGAAAGCCTATTTCACAGGCCTTTATGCTTGATTTATAAGTAAGGTAATAAAGTTCATTTCACAAATAAAAATAAATTCTGTGGCTGAAATTCCATTTTCTCAGACTTTGGTTTGCCTATAAAGTACTGTGTAAACATGTTGTTTTCCTTTTGCATTCCATTTTTATGTTCTTTTTCTTATTTGGCATCTTCCATATTTAGGTGAGTTTTTAATAATTCCGTAACATATTGTGTATATTATGAGGGAAGAAATGAAATTTGTGTCCATGGATGCAAGTTATTTTGGAGCATTTAAAGCACTCATTATAAAACTAATGAATGAAAACTTGAAATAGAAAGTTTTGGTATTTCATAAATAACATTGCTGTATGTTTTGTATCATGTCACCTAGTCTTAGTGAGCTGAAAGTTTTAACTGTAGAGTGTAACGTGAAGTTCATATAATAAAAGTAGAAGTTTTTGTAGTCCTCATTAATTGTGCCAAGAGTATGATGCAGTACGAAACAGATGCCCTGTTAATTTTTTTGACATATTGTACCAGAATCATTAATTTTAGTATTTGAAAGTTGCTAGACAAGTAGGTTTAAGAATTTCTTTAAATTCTTTGATCTTGGAAGCTGTTTCTCTGGATTAGTGAGTTTAGGGTCAGTGAATTCTGGAGAAAAATTAAGAAGGTACTTTAGTTTATAAAATAATTGTTACGTGTCTGAGTCTGTCAATGTTTTGCAAGAAATTTAGTGTCTTAGTAACCAGTTGAATATGCAAAAAATTGTACACTAATCTCTAGGTGGAGCCTCAGTATAAGTTGAAATTACATATTTTGTCTTACTGCTTTGGTAGATAGAGTACCGCCCCCAGTTTTGATGCATCCAGTATCCTGAAAGGTAGAAGTGGCTCAGAAGAAAGAATATTTAGTTATTGTAATAAAGTTGTGCAGATGGCATATTGCTAACTACCTAAGCCTGGGTGGGTGGGGGAAACTAAGTGTTGTAGGAATTTGGATAGTAGTAAATGGAAGAGGTACTCTATATATGGGGTGGTGGTATTTAATAAGGCTTTTTTTAAAAATTAACTTTTTTTTAGAGCAGTTTTAGGTTCACAGCAAAATTGAGTGGAAAGTACAGAGTTCCCATATACTCCCCGTCTCCAAACACCCACAATCTCCCCCACTATTGACGTTCAGTGGTACGTTTGTTACTATCCATGAACATTGACACATCACCCAAAGTAGCAAAGCTTTTGAAACTGGTGAGGGATGGGAAAATTCTGTAGGAATATCTAGGATAAAGAAGCAGACAAAGTGTTGTGGCTGTACACATCCTCTGCAGACACATTGCTGTTTTCAGTCCTGGCAATACAACTCCGTCTATGTAAATTAGTTTCCAAATGGGGCCAGACGACCAGAGGATGGGGAAATGTATGGGAGAGTTTGGGAGTGTGGAGGAGTTGCAGACATCTAGGATTGCCATAGAGAACTCGACAGCACTTGCTTCAGAATTAAGGAACCTAGGCAGTTTCAGAGTGGGGACAAGTGGAAAAAAGCATGCTGTCAGGTTCCCACGAGTCAAGTGGGATAATCAGTCAGCCTTCAGCACAGGGTTGTGAGGACTAAAAATAATGGGCATGAAAATAGTTTGTGAACCGTTAGAACCTATTGAAATACAGGTTAACACCTTATTTTAGTCAGAAAACTCACCTCTCCTAAAAGTGTCGTCTTCTGCAAGGGGCCATCCACTAGAAGGCTAACCAGCTGTTCTGAAAGTCTGGGCCACACAGTAAGTAGGTCCTACTGAGGAAAATTCACCTCACAAATGTGTGTTTCCATTTGTACCCTTCAAAGTTGCAGCCTTTTCTTAGGTCTCGCCCTAGCTATCCCAGTCTTCATGAAGGTGTGTGCCATGAAGGTGTGCGTGGCGCTCGGTGGCCTTTAGCCCGTGTTACCTAGTATCCCTTATCTTGGAAGGTTCTCTTGTGATAGGCTGGATTAAGAGTGCTGCTCAAGCCAAACAGCTTGGGTTCATATCCAGCTTCCACTTAACAACTTGGGCTAATAAATCATTGAATCTGTTTCCTTATCAGCCAAGTGGAGAAAATAGTCGTGCCTAATTTCATAGGATTTTAATGAAGATTAAATGTGTCAGGTCATGTAAAATGCTTAGAGCAGTGCCTGGCTCAAAGTGCTAAGTAAATGCTGTTCACTGTGTAATGTACTGAGCGCTTAGGAGGGGCTACAAGTGAAAATAGCCTCTGCTTTCATGCATCCATCTAATGGGCAAGACAGACATGTCTAACATAACGTGAGATAAGTGCTACAGGGATGTCTAAGGCGTGACAGCCTCTTGGGGTATCTGGAGACCACTTCCAGGGGAAGATTGACAGCCTTCTGCCCCTACTATTTTTCTTTACAGATTTGGTAGCAAACCAGCCATGACTTTGCTCTTGTACACGTGCCTCCCTTCTCTTCAGTAGTAAACTTAAGGCCAGCCTTTTTTATCCTACCCAGTACCTGACATATAAATATGGTAGGCACTAAGTATTTGCTTCCTATTGCTGCTGTAACAAATTAGCACAAACTTAAGTGACTTAAAATACAGATTTATTGTCTTAACAGTTTTGGAGGTCAGAAGTCCAGAATGAGTTTCACTGGGCTAAATCAAGGTGTCAGCAGACCTGCCTGCCTTCAGAAGGCTCTAGAGGAGAATCCATTTCCTTACCTTTTCCAGTTTCTGGAAGCAACTTGCATTTCTTGGCTTGTGGCCCCTTTCTCCATCTTCAAAGTGCAGTCTCTACTTTCATCCTTCCATCATCTCTCTCTGGCTCTGATCCTCCTGCTCCCTCTTACGAGGACCTGTTTGATCACATTGGGCCAGCCAGGTAATCCAGGATAATCTCCCCATCTCAGATTCCTTATTTTAAGTACATCTGCAAAGTCCCATATTCACAGGTGCGGGGAATTAGGGCAGGGAAATAATTGAGAGGGCCATTTGATCTTTAATTTATGGTTCCTAGCTATATTTTTTTCTTGTTCCTCAAAAATGACAACCTTCTAATGCAGGGTCTTGGCACTTGTAATCTTGTGTCTGGAACACTCAGCCCTCAGGTCTGTGTACTTGGCTTCTTTGTCATTCTGGAAAAAGAGGTCTTCTCTGAGACATCTCTTCATAGAACCCTGTTTTTTCATAACATCTCTTACTATCTGAAATACTTTTTCCCATTACTTATCTGTTGCTTTTGCCTGCCTCTGCTCAAGGTTGGCGTATATGCAAGGTTTGAGTCTTAGCCGCCTCTGTTCTAGCGCTTAGACCAATGCCTGGTGCATTGCAGGCCTTTTGCTTTTTTGATTGAGTGAATCAAGCTCAAGGCAATAGCCATTTAAAGATTTGACTCTCCAGTAGTTGGTATGTTGTAGTCCTTGGGGATTTGGATGGGGAGTGGTGAGAGGAGGGGCGGGGGCTGGAATGTAGATATATGGATACATGTATTTGTTACTCAGGAGAACTCAGAAAAAATTGAGTTTTATTGTGTAGGGATAGTAGTACGTGAAAATAGAACAACATGTTGGGGGAATATGGGAGACGGTTCGTGCTGGGAGCAGTGGGAAGTTTCACAAAGGAGGTAGAATTTGGGCACCTGGTGATAGAAAATCAGGAACCAAGGCATAGAGCTGGGCGAGAGTGCCGGTGGCGGGTGTGATAGCCAAGAGGATGTGAAAGCAAAACTCGAGAGCAAACCATTTAATCATGAGCATGTGATCACATATTGAGGGCTAGTGTGCACTTAATCCACGGAATCCTAGGTTGGCGGTTCTCCACTTTGACTGCATCCCTGGAACTGAATTCTTAATTGGTTTGGGGATGGGCCCCAGACTTTTTCCCTTTAAGTTCTCCATGTGGTTTTAATGTGCAGCCTATTATATTAGGTAAGTATACCATTATCCCCCTTTTTTTAGATGAAGGGTTAACTTTCCCTCCCCTAGGATGGCATAGCTAAGGGGTGGGGCTAGTAGTAGGTTCCAGATCTAATTTGAGTTGGTTTTTCTTGACCAGAGGAGCTAGGAAAAGTTAGTATCAAGCTTAATGAAAACAGAAAAGTGGTGTGCTGAGAGCAGTTTCAGGAGTTTTGTGGCATCTGAAACCATAGTGAGGGGGCTAAACTTGCAGCCCTAGTTGGGGTCAGGAAATGAAGGCAGAGGGTTTATAACAATTTGGCAAGAGTATAGATGCTGAGATCCTGCTGTGCAAGTCAGGGTGCTAGGCTTCCTAGCTAGAGAGGGGACACACACCCAGCCTTTCACCAGAGAACCTAGACAAAGGAGGCATAGAACGTGGAATTCGAGTGAGCATGCTGAGGGAACTCGGGGATGACTGTGTCCCTTAGCTAAGATTGGGCTAGTCAGGTATTGCTGGGCTGTTGGAAAGGTCCAGACTCATCAGTACTTTGGAGAACCTGGTTAGTTGGAATCTTAAAAATGTAACCCAGAGAACTGAACATCCCCAACTTTGTCCAACTGCCCAGTGCCCACCCTGTGGTGCACGGCACAACTTTCGTGCCCCACTTGACCTCGTGTCACGACTGACGCCTGTTCACCGAGCCTTGTTTCAGGCCCCTCCTCGCGTCCCACCCCCTGCAGCAGTGACCCCGAAGGCGGTGGGAGCCTTTAGTGGCTGTCTAGTGAGTCCTAGAGGCCTCCTGGCCGCCCGAGCACCACGGTGGCGCGGCGCACTAACTGCGCCTTCCCCTGCGGACGGCGG